TGGATTAACGGGAATTGAAATTCAGTCATTTTCGACATAATTTTGTTGATCCACGACGCAAGCCAACATTACCTTTGAATGATAAAAACGAGAAAATAAGTGCATGCTTTATTAATGCAACAGTAATAAATAACATGTACAAGGTGAATGAAATATTAACATGAAATAAAATTTAGCAAAGATAAATAGATAAGATAATTAAGCAATGATAAATAAATAAAAATTATTTATTTATTAAAGTAAGTATATAAAAAATGATATATCGAATTAAAAAAATATTCATATTTTAAAAATATTTTATTTAAAATGAATAATATATATGTATAATTAACTTAATAAGAAATAAATAATAATATTAAAATATTGTATTCGAATAACCCTCATAAGGCCCCCGAGTTTTCCCCTAGATTAGCATAACAATCAGATAATTTATACTTTTCCAAAATATTGAAGAGATCCTCGTGTTAAAAATGTATTCCATATATTCAAATATATAAAAATTAAATTTTTTATAAAAATAATTTTTTATAACAATATATGTAAATATTATTTTTAGAATTAAAAAAGGGACGAATAAAATATATGAATGTATTAAAAAATTGACACATGCTTAAAAAGTATTCTATATGTATATATATATATACACGTAATTAGTAATTGAGAGAAAAGGAAATATAATAATTTTTTTATATCTTAAGCATACGCATTTAAAGAGTAAAAATGAATTCAAGACATAATCCAAATAAATAAAAAGTTTAGAGACCCAATGAGTTATTAATACGTGTTATTTTTAATGATTTATTAAAATTAGTGCCTAAAATGAACATTCATCAAAGTTTCAGCACTCAAATGCAATAATCATATATTTTTCACATTAAATGAATGAAGGAAGGACTAACATGCAAGAATTTGTAGATTACTGGTCACGATTAACAATTTACCCAAATCAGAAAAGTTAAATGCCTAGAGAATAAAAATGAAATAACCACAAATTAACAAGGAAAATCAACAATTAAACCATAATTCAACAGTAAATAAATAAAGACCAAAATGGAATCGTAATAAACTTGAAAGCTTGAAATATAAAATAGTAAAATTATATTCAGTGACTAAACGTGAATTTACAAAATAATAAGAGCCCTCCTCACATGATTCACCCATGCACAAACTCATAAAACCCTAACTCTCAAAACTATGTCATTTTGATTTTATTATATATATACCATCATAAGAAATTTTAAAACCCTAGCTCATTTTTCATACCTAGGTCGTTTTAATAGATAGAGAGATAGAGTTTTTTTAACCTTCGCGGCTCCTTGATTTTCAAAAATTGGTGGGCCTCCTCATCACCAGCTGTCGCTGATCGGCGTCGGCCACCTCTTGTCTGTGATGAAAAATGGAACAATGACCATCATTCGAAAACTCTTCACCTCCTAAATATGGATGTCCGATTAACTCCAAATTGACTAGATCGGCATAAATCTAGTGGAGAAGTCTCATTTTTCTCACTCCGACGAACCTCCTCATTCTTTCGAGTGAGTCTCTCTCTCCTTTTTTATTTTTTTGTTTCTATTCTCTTCTCCCTCTTTTCAAGCCAATAACCCAATTTTTTTTTTGCATGCCCTTCTCGTTTTCTTCTAAAGAAAAACCAACCCCAAATAAATCTTAATCTTCCCTTTTTATACGAGTCGAATACTGCATGTTGTGCCTGAATCCAAATATCTTGTCATGGAGGGAATAGGGTATATTTCCCCTTATTATGGTGATTGATACTTTAGAACTGACTAGTTCTGTTTGTTTGCAAGTAAAAAAAATTAAAAATCTTTAATATTTTTTTTTATTTTTCTGATTGATTAATGCTTTATTGTTGCTGTGATGAGGTAACAGCGGTCAGCGGTGCAGAGGGAGCAGTTGACGGTGGCAATGGCAGGCATGGCAGGTTTTGAAAGTGACCGTAGCAACAGGTGGTTAGGTCGGCGGCAGCTAGTAGCTAGGTTTAGGTTAGGTTAGTTTGGTTTTGAGCTAGGGCTTAAGTTGGGCCTATTTCAAGTTTGGGTTAAAGGGTAAATGGGTTTTGACCGGTTGAACTTGTAATTGGGTTGATTGGAGGTCTGTAAAAAAGGATGTAAATAAAATTAATATTTAGTATTAATATATTATTATTATTATTATTATGATAATAACAAATAATATAATAAAACCTAAAATACAAACAAAAATAGGTGTCTACTTTAGTAATAGAAAAGTATGGTGGTACAGTAATAATAAGACCAATTAGATCAAGCATATACTAACAAATATTAATAACAGATTTCAATTTTATGAAAGTGTTCCTAAAGCAATCACTCTTGCAAACCATTTTCTTTCACATAGTCAGAATCACAAAACAAAACGAAAGATATGGATTGAGAGATAAGCAAAGGATAAAAGGGTGCATCGATTTACATTATCACTTGGAGGTTAAAGCTTTGTTTTGCCTCACAAAAAATCGTGTTTGTAATCTAACCCTTTTCTTCTTGGCCGAGATATATGCACCTGTATTTCATAAAAATTGACAAGTTCAAATACGTAGATGTCACCCATCTTATGCCATTATCACGAAAAAAGGCCATCTATCCTCCAAAAGAATGTATGCACGGTTCGACCTTTTGAATCTGAAAAAGAATTTACAATCCAACATTTGTCTTGCAAATTACGAAGCACTACTTGTGTTTTGCAGCAGTGAAAATATGCCTCTGAAAACTTTTATGGTATTTTTTATATCATATGATCTCGTAGATTGGTGCAGATTACAGAAAATTAGGGAATTATATTCTCAAATATCTAGATGCTAACATATTTAGGGATTTAACAGATATTGTAGTTGTTGAATTTGTGTAATTAACTGATTTTATGTGATTTTTATATTAGAATCTCTTTGTAACCTATAAATAAGTGTCATTTTATCAATACAATATCAAGAAATACAAAGAAATATGATATTCTTCTCTACACATACCACTATTCTATATGGTATCAGAGGAGATTAGCCGATCTTTTAAACTCTAGCCAAATGACTACCAAAACATTCCTCGAGATTAGTAATTTCAATTTAGTTTTCACAGCCCATGAATATATTTGTTCCTTTTCCTCTATGATTAATAAAAATGGATTGGCAAGATGGATTGTCGACTCTGGGGCATCTAATCATATGACATGAGACATTATCCTATTCTAAAACTTTACAAAGTTACTTTCTCATTCTCATGTCAAGGTAGCAGATGGGTCATTATCACCAGTTGAGGGGAGTGGTTCAATCTGGATTAACTATAAATTTTACTTTAACTTTATCCTTTATGTTTCATCACTTGCTTGCAATCTTTTTTCGTTAGTAAAATCACTTATGAAATGAAGTGTGCAACTAAATTTTTTTATGAATGATTGTAAATTTCAGGCATTGGATTCAGGGAAAGTGGTTGACAATGCGAAGTTGTATGGTGGCTTCTACATCATTCAAGGACAATTACCTCCTATAAGACAAGTCAACTCAAGTTTACCTTTTCAATTCAACATTGGTAAATCTGATTTTTCTCCTATTGTTAGCCAAATTATGTTATGGCATTTTAGGTTAGGACACCCCAATTTTTCTATCTTGCAAGATTGTTCCCTCAGTTATTCATTAAGATAAAACCTGATTCTCTTACTTGTGATGTCTACCAACTTGCAAAACATACAAAACACACTTATCTTCCTTTAACTTACAATCATCTAAATCCTTTTTAGTTATCAATAGTGACATTTGGAACCCTTCACTAATTGAGAATATTAATGGTTGCATGTGGTTTGTTTCTTTTATAGATGATCATTCAAGAGCTACTTGGACCTTTTTAATGAAAGGGAAATATGGAAAAAAAAATAAGATATTCCATAGTATGGTTGAAAATCAATTTCAATGTAAAATAAAAATTCTTCATAGTGATAATGGGAGGGAGTATTTTGCCAAAACTGCAGGGGATTATTGTAAAGAAAAAAGGGATAATCTAGATTAGTTCCCGAGTAGATACCCCACAACAGAATAGGATTGTTGAGAGAAAAAATAGACATCTGTTAGAAGACACTAGGTCCTTACTTTTTTCTATTAACCTTCTTAAATATTTATGGGGAGAGGCATTTCTTACTACCACATACTTAATCAATAGGATGCCTAACAAAACTTTAAAGTTTTAGACACCTAGAGAAATATTCCTCGAGAACTTTCCTTATTTTCAGCCCATGTCTTCTATACTCCCTTTCATAGGGTTTGGATGTACTGTTTTTGTTCACAACCATCACCAATTCATGTCTAAATTAGATCATAAGTCTATCAAATGCATATTTTTAGGATATTTTTCAATTAAAAAGGGTTACAAATGTTACTCTTCTATCACACAAAAAAATTATATATCCATGGATGTTACATTTTTAAACATACTTCTTTTTCTGCTAAGACTGAAATTCAAGGGGAGAATTTGAGTGAATTGCATCCTGTGTTTCAACCTTTATTCTCACCAAATTTGTAGCCTATTTTTCAACTTCCAATAGTACCAGAAATACCTCCACCCGAACTGTATTCGTCTCTCCCAAAACTTGTTCTTCCAAACATTCCTTCAACACCTCCATCGAGCCAAAATTATCCGAGAACATCTCAAAGTAACCAAGTCCCACTTAAGAGAAAGGAACTCAATGTTTACATGAGAATGAAAAAGCATAAGTCCATCTCAAAGGTCGTTACATAAACTGGAATATGACAAGAGCTAGACTTAAGTCCAATTGCTACTAAAAAAGAAAGTAGAGGTAATTCACCATATTTTAGTGAAATTTTTGTTCCTTTCGAGGATAATATTAACTTACCTATTGCTTAGAGGAAAGGGGTAAGGAAATGAACAAACCATCCCATACAAAGGTTTGTTATATATGAGAATTTAATGTCTTCTTTTAAAGCATCTACAACCAGATTAGACAAATTTCAAGTTCCTGAAACAATGGAGGAGGCCTTGAAGGATCCTAGATGGAGGGAGGTTGTTAAGGAAGAAATTAAAGCACTAGAAAGCAACAAGACTTGGACCCTAATAGAGTTGCCACAAGCAAAAAAAAAACTTATTGTTTGTAAGTGGGTGTTTACTATGAATTACAATTCAAATGAAATTGTTGAAAGGTTCAAGTCAAGGCTTGTTGCTAAGGGCTTTACTCAGTCTTATGGCATTGAATTCCATGATACATTTGCTCTGGTAGCCAAACTTAATACAGTTAGGGTTCTGCTCATCTTAATTGTAAATGAAGATTGGGAACTACATCAACTAGATATCAAGAAAGTATTCTTGAATGGAAATCTGGAGGAAGAAGTGTATATAAGACTATATCTAGGAATGGAAGTAAACACAATAACTTAGATGGTGTGTAAGCTAGAGCAGTCTCTTTATGGCCTGAAACAATCTCATATGGCCTAGTTTGAGAGGTTCACCAAAGTTATAGTTAAAAATGACTATAAACAGTGTTAGACATATCATACATTGTTTGTAAATGTGACTTCAAGAAAGAAGAAATACATCCTCATTGTTTATGTAGATGATATCATCATCACTGGAGATGATTATGCCAAAAGTAATAATCTGAAGAAAATGTTGGCCAATGAATTTGAAACTAAAGATCTGGGAACTTATTAGGTATGGAAGTTGAGAGATAAAAGGCTGATATTGTCATCAACCAGAGAAAATACATTTTAGATTTATTGTCTGAAATGAGAATGTTATGATGTAAACCAACAAAAACTCCAATTGAAGCCAATCTAAAGTTGAGAAGAGAAAAAATGGGAAGTACAGTAAATAAGGAGCAATACCAAAGATTGGTGGGTAAATTAATTACCTTTATCTCACCAGACATGATATTGCATTCTAGGTAAGCATAGTGAGCCAGCATATGAAAAATCCAAGAGAAAAACATTTGAAGGCCATAAATAGGATTCTAATGTATCTAAAATTGACTCATGTTCATGGTTTAATTTTAAGAAAAACATAAGAAATATCAGTGAAAATTTTCATCGAGTCAAGTTGGGATGGGGAGCTGAATGATAGAAGGTCTACCAATGATTATTTTTCTCTGGTTTGTGGCAATTTAGTCACATGGGAAGCAAGAAATAATCGGTTTTTTCCAGAAGTATTGCATAAGCTAAGTATAGGGCCCTTGCACTTGAAATTTGTGTAGGTATATGGTTGAAGAGGTTGTTGGTTGAATTAGACCTAAGTCAAGTCAATAAGTTTGAGCTACTTAGTTAAAGTCAGTCTGCAATTAGTATAGTTAAAAATCTAGATCACCATGACAGAACTAAGCATGTTAAGATTGATCAACATTTTATCTCAAAAAAGGTTAATAGTGGGATAGTAAAGCTAAACTTTGTTTTTACGAAAAATCAGCTAGCTGATATCCTCACTAAACTACTACCAATAGTGATCTTTGATGAAATCACATTCAAGCTAGGAATCTGCAATGTACACTCACCAACTTGAGGGGGCATGTAGATTGGTGAAGATTGCAAAAAATTAGGAAATTATATTCCCAAATATCTAGCTACTAATATTTAGGGATTCAAAAAATATTACTGGTTTTTTGTAATTAGTTGATTTTAAGGTAAACTACATAAATGACCACCCAACTATGGGCTTCGTCTCGAAATGGCCACCATTTTCAAATTTACGTCAATATGAACACTGAATTATTTAAATGGATTCAATATAGCCATATGTCATTAACATTTAATGGAAGTTTTTACGTGGCAGTTAACGAAATTGGTATAATTAGGGTGCAAGTCCTTGTAAAGTTACGTATTCGCGGTGCTAGCGTCCTGCTTTTTTTTTTCTTCCATTTTAGCCACTACTTGCATATGATTTGTTTTCTTGGATTTTTCTTTAATGCAATCTGATCATGATTTTGTTTTAATTTTTCTAATGCCTTAATTTGAGCATTAATTTTAAAATCTATTTAATATATTTAAATAGTAAAAAAATAATACTTGATGAGTAAAATTAAGGCATTAGACAAATTAAAAACAGAGTTAGGATCAAATTGCATTAAATGAAAATACAAGGAATCAAATAATATACAAGTAGTGACCAAAATGGAAGAAAACAAAGTAGGGTGTCAACGTCGTGAATACGTAACTTTACAATGATCTATGTCGTAATTATACTAATTTTGTTAACTGTCACGTAAACACTTCTGTTAAATGTTAATGGAAGGTGGCTATATAGAAATTATTTAAATAGTTAAGTGGTCATATTGATTAAAATTTGAAAATTATTGTCATTTTGAGACCAAGCCCATAGTTAGGTGGTCAATTATGTATTTTACTCTTTATTTTATTTGATTTTTTCTTGGGCTAGAATCTCTTCGTAACCTATAAATAGGTTTCAGTTTTATCAATAAAATATCAAGAAATGTAGAGAAATATGATCATCTTCTCTGCACATACTACTCTTCTATGGATCCAAATAGTAAGTGAAAAAAATCCCAAAAATAATATGCATCCTATATATTTCTGCAACGATAATTGACAATAATTACTAATAGTTAAAAACAATTTCCAATAATTGTAAAGAACTATTTTACTTTGTTGCCAATATTCAGCATAGAAAACTGTCATCTATTTATAAGTTGTTTATTATTTCTTGATTTGGGCTTTCCATTGTTAAGCAAAGACAACAATAAATTCATCAAATTAGTTACAGAAGAGATCATGCTTCAGTCAAATTTCTGAAGGGAAGGGAATGAAAAGTAAATTGTTCACCAAAGTATATGAACCACATAACATTGAACTTTTTTCATAATTCTTATAAAATTAAGAAAGTCAGAAGAAAAATAACTGTAGCTTCTATTTTAGAAGCCAAATCAAGTTAGAATGAAAAGTTTACCAATAAGCATAGTAAATCAATATTCTACAGCTATTCCAAGGATTGCAATAACATAATGAATATATGTTGGCCATGGTCCAATAAACACGGATAATATCCCTGGAAGCTTAGAGAAACACACAAATTTTTCTCGATGGAGATATAGGTAACACTCATCATCAAGTGATCAGTTAAAAAATTTACCTTGCCTTCAATTGCATGACCTTGATAAAGAGCAGAGTACAACACTTGTAGATCTTTTTACTACCTTACCATATTTTCCTTTTTTAAGCATCTTAGACCCTTTTGTTATCACACATTTGAACTTTTTATAATTTTAAGTGGACCTTTGAAGCATTTTTTTTTTTTGCTAAATCCTCCAGTAAATTAGAATCAGAATTTTCAATGAACACATTAGCAGCAATTATTCCATTTTGGTGGTTCAGGTCTTCTTTTCCAACCTGAAGGATATGCACATGGAATTCAAATTTACGCACAATTCAAAAATACAGATGTCTTCAACCTTTATCTCGTTACCACAAATAAAGCTCAACCATCCACCACATAAAGTACGGCTTATGTGCATTCTTGTTGTAGGCACAAAATTCAGTCTAATAACATTCTTTCAGATTCCGAAGCACAGTCTCAATCATTCATTTTGGGAAATGTTTCATCGTAAAATGATATGGAATATTCTAGGTCACAAAAAATTAAAAGACAGTTGAATACATAAGCAGGTTTCATGATGTCTAAATAAGATATCTAAAAAATACTTTAACTAGTTGATTCAAGACTACACGAGGGAAGTTATTATATCTATATGTTTTCCCCTTATAAGCAGATAAAGTTGTTTCTAACTATAGCCAAAGGTAAAAACATGATCATCAATAAGTTAAGAAACTTGGTTGAAATCTTCAGCTGTTGAAGTATTGATATTGAGACAAGTTTCTAGCACGTAGAGTGATTTAAAACCCTATATTGATACCATATAACAAGATACACAACATATAGGCTTGTGCCAACAATGTCCTAAGTAAAAGATCTGGAGCAAAAAATGAGAGGAAATAACTTACCAATGTATATGAGCCATTGACGTTGAATCTTTTCATAATTCTAACAAAAAAGGGAAACGTGAATTAAAAGATTGAGCCACCTTTTTCTCTTTAAATTCTCCTTCTATTTGAATAAAGTAACTACCAAGTAGATTCAAGTCATCTTCTTTTACAGTTCCAGGGTGATTCCATCTGTTTCAAGAGATGAGTCTCTTTATAAAGAGGGATTCATGAGATCTAAACCATCATTGAAGTTCCAACATGAAACAGAATGTCCATACATGCAAACATAATTACAAAGTCATGAAATAGGTGGTACGAAGACCAACATTAAACAAGACTCCAGTTATATTGATACCATAGTTTTTTCTTAGCAAAAAAACAAGTTTTTGTTGCTGACTGGTTGTCATTGTTATTCCTTTATAGAAGAAATTTAGATGAAAAGCAATAAAATTCATACAACACAAATACAAATACTCTAAATCCAATGATAAAACAATATTTCACACAAATCCCAAAGAATGAGAGAGGTTCATTTTCTAACCATGATTTTATCACAGGAAGTTCTTGACAACTTTTAGTTGAAAAATCAGTTCATCCCCACAGCATTCTTTATCCCTATCGGATTCAAACGAGCTCTCACTAATTTTCTTTAACAATTCTTCGCAATCTTGATCCAATGAGACGCCTCCATCGTCTCTATATTCTGTCCCACGATCCCATTAAACTCGGTACTATCTTAGCTGCATTTACAATGAAAAGCAACTGCTTTCTCACAACTGCTTTGCTCAAACACTTTGACATCAAAAACCAAGTAACCATCATACCTAAAAACCAAAAAATCACCACATCCTAGGCGCTATGATCTTCAACAAAATCAGCCATCCTTTATCAAAGAGCAAGTTGTCATTCTTTTGAGCTAATTCAACAACTCAAGTATACCCACTTGGTCCTTTTAACAAAACCGAGCGAGAAAATTTTCCCTCCAAGTTTCTCTTAAATCCTAAAGGAATACTCTGTTAAAATATCAGCATCAGACAAAGTAAACATAATTAGCTAATATAAAATGGAATTCATAACAATAGTTTCAGTAAACTCCAATTTTTGCATGGAGGATAAAGAGTGAAATACCAGGCTGATAGCACTCGAAGTAAAGGAGAAGACGTTGAGAAAATGTGGTGTCCTGGGTTTTAACATCGTTGTTGTTGCTGCATTTGATTTGCTTTTTTCACTTTTTAAAGCTTTTTACTAAGTCAAAATAAAACACTGAAAGGTTGGAATCATAAGAATAAAAACAGCAAAAAGATCAATTAAAAAAAAACAACAATAAAAAGAGCAATTTGAAGAAGAAAGCAAAATCAAAATAAAAGTCAACAATGTTGATTCATATATTAAATTCATACCCATTTTTTGAACATTCAAGGTACGAATTCAGTACTTTTTTTAATAATTTTCAACTACGATTTTAAATAAATTTAAAATATTACACGAATCAAATTACCTCAGTGATTAAAGGAATTATTTTTATTTCTAAAAGTCTCAAGTTCGAGTACCAACGACTGCAGCATGGGTGATTAAGCGTTCATTATAAAATAGTTGAGAGTTTTCCTGAGTGTCCAACAAGCAGAAGAGTGAGTAAAACCCTAAAGTATCCTCCTCTCGCCGTTTTGGTCCCTTGCAGGAAGCGTCTCCGCCGGTCACTAACGTGACCAAGGTGGTGGAAGGGGAAGATAAAACGGAAAGAAATTATAAAAGAATCCGACCAACGGAAGGTGATGGTGTTTTAGAAGAGGGGGTACCAAAAAGATCATGGAAAGATGCAGTGATAAGCCCTACCTTTCTTCCCGGAAATTTCCAATTATCGACGGAAGTTGAAGATGAGGGTTCAGACGATGAAGCAGCTCCTGAAGGGGATGACATTCCGACAATCAGGATTCCTCAAGAATTAAAAGAAAAATTGAGGAAACCATGGAGAAAGGCACTCATTATCAAGATTTTGGGTAAAACAGTGGCATATAAAATCCTAATCAGTAGGATAACAAATCTGTGGAAATTGGAAGGTGAGTTTGATTGCATTGATCTTGGATATGGGTTTTATGCAATTAAATTTCAAAATATGCTGGATAGAGCTAAGGTCCTCATGGAAGGTCCTTGGAAGATCATGGATCACTACATCACGGTGCAGAGATGGCGTCCCAATTTTGTGGCAGCGAAAGCAAGTATTCCTTCTACGGCAGTTTGGATTCACATTCCTGGGCTCCCTATCGAGTACTTCGAGGAAAGTATCTTGTGTAATCTGGGTAAGCTTGTTGGCAAACCACTTAAGATTGACTACCATACAGCTTGGTCAACAAGAGGACGATTTGCTAGAATATGCGTAGAAATTGACCTAGACTCTCCCCTGTTGTCTAAAGTTCGTATAGAAAATAGGGTATACAATATTGAATATGAGGGTTTGCACTCTATTTGCTTCAAGTGTGGTATTGTGGGTCATAGAGTTTCTGATTATTTTGTAAATTAGAAAGAAGCTCCAATGAATAGAGAGGCCAACATGGAACCACAAGTGTCAGAACATCAAGGTAGGCAGGAAGTTGAGTAACAGGAGAAAATTCAACAAGAAGTGAAAGAATTAGCTAAGGACAGATATGGTCCCTGGATGCTAGTTCAAAGGAGAACACGTGGTATTAGAAGTAATCAGAGAAATCAAAGTAGCAGAATATTTGAGCCACGACAGAATAACAGATTTGATGGGTTGAACATTATGGATGAGGATAAGATATGTAAGGGAAAGGAGGAACATAGCCGTAAACAAGAGGTAAATGAAACTTCAAATAAGTTTGAAATGTCATCAAAGGACATGAAATCTAACCGAAGCGAAGAAGGTAACAGCAGAGCAAAAGACAATATCCCGGCAGACAGCTCATACGATGGGTCCTCTAGGAAAACCAAAGGTAATTTTCAATCTCCCAAGCTCTTTGTTAAGAGAGACAACCAGGGTAGTAATAACAGGGGTAAGAATATTGGGAAAATAGTCAAAGTTTTGCTATGGAACCAATAGTAGCGGCTGGAAAAAGATTGGATAATCAGGCGAATCCATAAATAGAGGTTGAAAATGTTACTAGTAGATCAGAAAATTTGGAGGATCAGGAAATGGAAATCGAATCAATTAGACCAGAAGAAGTAGTTATTACAAATGAAAAGATGGTCGTTGAGGCTAATATAATTTATAATCCCCCCAATGAAGTTTATTTCTTGGAATTGTCGTGGAGTAGGTAACAAAAATTTCATCAGGCATTGTAGAGAGTTAATTCGGGATGAAAACCCAACCATTATTTGTCTCCTTGAAACAAAAGCTAAGAAAGGTACTGGCCCTGTGTTATAGAAAAAATTGAATTTCGACAACCACTATGAGGTCCCCTCTCAAGGTTTCCGGCGAGGTTTGATCTTACTCTGGAATTCTAACTCGCAAAAGGTTTCCATTAGGTACCAAACAGATCAGGTTATCCATTGTGAAATTCAAGAGAACGATAAAATATGGTTGCTCTCCACTGTTTATATCCAACCTCATTCAACCAAAAAGGACGAAGCATGGGATAATATCTACGATTATTCTACAAGCGTTGATCTGCCTTGGATGATTATGGGTGATTTTAATGATTTTGCTTCACTTGATGAACGTGTTGGCAGCAGCTTCGATTGCATGGACCGTATCATCAAGTTTCACGAACTCTGGAATAGGTGCAATCTAATGGATGCTGGTTATGTTGGTAGTAAGTTTACATGGACTAGACACTCCCAGGGAAGAGTCACTCTTCAGGAAAGGCTCGACAGGTTACTGCACAATATTGAGTTGGTTAATTGTTTTCCTAATTTAAGAGTGGTTACCTTAACTAGAATGTATTCTGACCATAACCCGATTCTGGTTAACACGGATTTGGAACTGCCAGTCGATAAAGAGAAACGACCATTTAGATTAGAAGCAGCTTGGATGATGCATGATGATTTTAACAGGATTTTTAGTTCAGCATGGGATAAAAAGAAAAATTCTCTTGTGGATGCGGTGGAAGAGACTAAGAGAACTCTTATAGAATGGAAGGAGAGTACTTTTGGGAACATATTCAAACGTAAGAAAATTTTGATGAAACAACTTCAAGGCATCCAGAGATCCACAAATTATTTTCATTCGAATTACCTTCAGGAATTGGAGAAGACCCTGAAAGGTGACTATCAACAAGTGTTGGAGCAGGAGGAAATCTTTTGGCTTCAGAAATCAAGACTGGACTGGATTGTGAAAGGCGAAAGGAACACAAAGTTCTTTCATCTAACTACGATGATAAGGCGCAAATTTAATAAAATAGTTGGCCTGTACATTGAGAATGTTTGGGTTACGGGAAAACAAGACCTTTGTCAACATGTTTACAATTATTACAAGGAGTTGTTTGCTGGGAAAGAATACATACAATTGTCTAGAGATTACGATAGCTTCATACCAAGATTGATGGAAGAAGAAAAAATCGAGCTAACGAAGCAAGTCACTATGGAGGAAGTGAAAGAAACTTTGTTTTCCATGAAAGGTCTTAAAGCCCCGGGTTCGGACGGCATTCAACCAATCTTTTATAAACAAAATTGGGAGACTGTTAGAAATACTCTTCTTGATTTTGTGAATAAGACCTTGGAATCGAGGAAAATGGAGGGGAAAATATTAAGAACGTTCCTGGTGCTTATACCGAAAATTACTGTAGCAGATAATATCACTCAATTTCGGCCAATCAGCTTACTGAACACATCATACAAAATCTTCTCCAAAATCATTGCCCGTCGGTTGTGTCCTATGCTGCAAAGGTTGATAGGTCCTTATCAGAACAGTTTCCTTAAAGGTAGAAGTACCTCGGATAATATTTTGATCGTCCAGTAAGCAGTTCATTCGATGATGAAACTCAAAGGAAGGAAGGGTGCAGTGATTGCTAAAATAGACCTTCAGAACGCCTTTGATAATGTTAGCTGGGAATTTCTTAAGAAAACCCTCCAAGACTTTAATTTTCCTGAGAGTTTGGTTGAGACTATAATGTTTTGCATTACTTCCTGTACAATTGAACCGTTGTGGAATGGGGAAATCACCGAGAGTTTGAATCCAAAGCAAGGTCTACGTCAAGGCGATCCGCTATCACCGTACTTGTTCATATTAGTTATGGAAAGACTTTCCCACATTATCATGGAGAAAGAAGAAAGGGGTACATGGAAACCGTTTAAGAGTTCGAGGGGTGGAATTAAATTAAGCCATTTATTCTTTGCGGACAATCTCTTACTGTTTACAGAAGCAGATTCAAATCAAATGCAAAATATGAGAAGTTGCCTAAATGAATTTAGCCGTGCAGCTGGAGTTGAGGTAAATCTTCTGAAATCAAAATTATTTATCTCCCCAAATATTAACTCTAACATAGCTCATTACTTAAGTAATTTGTGTGGCATCCCTCTTACGGATAACTTGGGAACTTACTTGGGAGTTCCTATCATCCACAAAAGGGTTAATTCAGGAACCTATGGTCCTCTCATTGAGAAAATCATTAAAAGACTGGCAGGCTGGAAAGAAAGAGTTCTATCCATGGCGGGTAGAAGAACACTTATTCAATCCGTCTCCAGTGCTGTGCCATTACACACGATGCAGACATCCGTGCTTCCTATTTCGGTCTGTAAAAAGCTGGATAGCCTAAATTGTAACTTTTTGTGGGGAGGAGACACAGTGTATGCTCATAATCATCTGGTTAGCTGGGATAAAGTTTGTCGATCAAAAAAGATGGGAGGATTAGGAATTCGTAAAGCAAGATTAATGAACATCGCTCTTATGACAAAGAACAGTTGGAAACTCCTCACTAGACAAGAAAATCTCTGGTGTAAAGTGTTTACCGGGAAGTATCTTAAAAATAAGGAATTCTTGGAGGTAGACTCTAGTGGAAACAACTCTTCCACTTGGAGGGGCTTGCTACGAACTCGGAACTTAATTAAACAAGGGAGAAAATGGCAGATAAAATCAGGTATTCAAGCAAAATTCTGGCAGGACTGGTGGTTAGGAAAAGAACCACAGAAAAATTCATATCCTTTAATGGACAATCCAAGCAGAAATGAAGAGGTGGCCAGATATATTGATGAAGATAGAACTTGGAATATCCGAGAAATCCAGTATCAAATCTCTGAAGAAACAAGGAGGGAAATCCAAAGAGTTTCGATTCCAGTCCTAATCGATCCGCATGAACGAGATGAAATTACTTGGGGCTTCTCCAAGGATGGGCAATTTACGGTGAGTTCAGCTTAACACTCAATTTCTAATATGGAGATGGGTGGTCAACATGGGGAAAATCTTGAGTGGGTATGGAAAACTAAAACCACCGAACGAATCAGGTTCTTTATTTGGTTTTCATACCTAGACAAACTTAACACAAATGAGGTTAGGTGCAGGAAGAACATGACACAGTATGCGAACTGCAAAAGTTGTCGAAATGTAACAGAATCAATCGATCATATTTTCCGAAGGTGTAACATTGCTAAATTTGTTTGGGAAGAATTAAATGCTACGGAACAGGACAGCCGATTCACTTTGATGGATTTCAAGAATTGGCTGAAATCAAACTGTCTTTCTAAGAAAGTCGGGCTCGATGGATTAAAATGGGGACCTTTGTTCATGGCTACTATTTGGGGACTGTGGAAGAGCAGGAATGAAATGATCTTTAAATAAACATCAATGGATCCCTCTCAAGTGATTACCTATGCCAAACGACTTGCAATGGATGTAGATAAAGCCCTGTTAAACTCACATAGCAAAATGTTTAATGATCCTTGTTGGGTTAAATGGAAAAAACCTCCTGAAGGGGGTTGGATTCTAAATACTGATGGTGTGTATAAAATGAATTCTGGCCTGGCGGTTGCAGGTGGTCTGATCCGAGATAGCAATGGGGACTGGAAAGCGAGATTCATGCTTAGACTAGGGAGGGTTAATAGCTCGCTCGCTGAAATTTAGGGGGCTCAGCAGGGTCTCTTGTTAGCGAAAAGTCTAGGGCTTAGAAACCTAATCCTAGAGATGGATGCAAAATGGATTGTGGACCTCTTTAATGGAGACAAAATGGTTGACGCCTCTGAAAATGATTTGGTAAATGATTGTTTAGACATCCTTAAGAAAGGATGGGTGGTTGAAGTTCGGCACATCTGGCGTGAAGGAAACAAATTCGTCGATAAACTTGCGAATCTCGCACTTCTACAAGGAGATGATTCCGCTATTCTAAAGTTGCCTCCACCTGAAATTCAGGCGTTGTTGGGAGCAGATAAGAACGAGGAGCACCAGCTGAGACACTAGTTTACTGCTTTGTTCAAGTGTACAAAAAAAAATAATACTTTATAATCACCTTAGCTCAATCAAAAAATAAACTTAACAATTAAAATATAAAGATTTTATTATAAAAACTTATATTAAAAATTAAAATTTTACAAAATTATAAAGAAAAGGTAACGTATTGTATATATTTTTATAAATATATAGAAAATATGTTTGGCAAAATGGTTGAGAAAATATTATTGGAAAAAATAATTTTCAAAATAATATACCTAGTATTATTTCTCATGTTAGAGCGATTGCTATAGTAAAAGTAGAAGACGCATGGTGTTCTATGCATTTTCGAGGAAGACTGCAAGACTGTAATACGTCTTTGGTGAAGTCTCTAAATTTTCAATACGTCTTCACTTCAGCTCTCGCATCTTCGACTTCTTCATCCCATGCATACAGATGCAGTCATAAAATTCATTAATGTATTATTAGTAAACCAACATATCAATAATTCATGTATCATTTGTGAACAATAATCAAGGTGGATGCAACAGTAATTAGTGGTGAGAGGGGTAGAGGATTTAGAATATATATGAGAGGCAGGGCCGGCTCTGGGCCGGGACAGAAGGGGCGTCCGCTCAGGGTCCATAAAAGTTTTATAATTTTTATACTATATATTTTTTAAGCATAGGGCCCATAAAAGTTTTATAATTTTTATACTATATATTTTTTAAGCATAGACACATCAACATCGCCATTTGGGCCGGGGCAGAATGGTTGCTATTATTTGTTTATTTTAATAAAAAAATTAATATCAATTTTATACTATATATTTTTTATAATTTTCTAAAATTAGGGGTATATTTCTTTTATTTCGCCCACGACCAAAAGTTACCCAGGGCCGACCCTGATGAGAGGAAGTTGGCATGGATCATTCATTGGGAGGAGAAGAATAAAATAAGGATTGAGTCAAAAGAAAAGAAGAAATTAGTTTAAAGAAAAATGGGAAGGTAATTTTTTTTATTTAAATTAATTTATAGTATTTTTATTTGATCAATTATTTTACTATTAAATTGTTTTTCAAATTAATTTAGAATATTTTTTATTTTGTTCATTAATATCCAATTTAAAAAAATATTCAATATTTTTTCTACAAATTCTTTGAAGCATGACAACACAAAATTATCTTTTGACACTAGATGATCAATATATTTCTACTTATTTGGGAACATTAAACTATTATTTAATAATGTATTTTATTTGAGAATGATTATTATATGTCAAAAGTATATTTTATGGTTAATTTAATGAATTAATTAATTGCGAGAAGACGAACAGTGAATCCTTTGTAATCGAGTCAATGTTTGTGATAAGTCAAACTATTGTATTATCCATAATTTGCAATTGGAGGGATTTTACAATTTAATATTTTGTCAAGAGTACATATCGGTCCACGATTTGATCAGTGTGTTGATTAAACGATAGAGACGAGAAACACATACATTTCATTGGTCATGTGGAGAATGCATGATCACTCTTGAGGATGTGGCCTTAAAACTCGAGGTCTTGATAAATGGGATGACAATGGTGGGAAAATAAATACGAAGCCATTGTAAATTACGAGAAGTACCTTGAAAAGATGCCAACATAATCTTTTTAAAAGGGTCGCATTTGAGGCTATCATGGTTGGAGAAAACAAGAAGTTTGATACGCAACATGAGCATATATACTCCAACTAAATGGGTTAATTTTGAGGTCAAATAAATCTAGTAATCTAGTTCACAACTACTATCTCATATTTTTGGAATACATGTAACTATAGTTGGTGATCGACGATATTGGTGTTCTTGTACCACAAGATGTGCAAGGCGTCTTTACTCGTAAATAATACAATTATAGTGTAAACCAGTGGATGTATGATGTTACTACTCTCATGGGCTTGCACAGACTTCTATTTTTAACATTGGTTAGTCAAATTGCGGTTGACTTTCCTCTTATCAAAAAATACTATTTTGATTTATAATAGTAATTATAATTATTATTTTTATTTGAAATAAGGAAAGATATTTTTTATCTCAAAAGAATTAAAAAATATTATTTCGATTGGCATACAGATGGAGGAAAAAAATAGAAGAAACGGGGTTGATGTTTAATAATGTGATGGAGTTTATATTGAACATTAACATTAAAAGCAAAAATATGATATATAATATTTATGAAATTTTAGATTTTTATATTATTTATTTATTTAAATTTTATATATGTTTATGATTACATAATTTTGTTTTGCAGTTTATTTAGAAGTCGTACAAGAATGAAGAAATAATATTGTTTGTGCTAACATATTTGGGAGGGCTGTAAATATTGGTGTGTTGTTACACCGCTAACCCATTTTGCTTTTGTTGAGTTTCAATATACCGATAGAGTGTTGAGGTAGTTCGACTTCCACCAGCCTATTCCGTGAATTCCATATAATCATGTTGTTCTCCACATATTAGATAGACGTGGTAAACACACTAAGCATTGTGTTACAAAGCATACATACTACATCAATCTTTGGAACAACAAAGCTTCATACTTGTCTACTACTCTTATTCAAGATG